TTTAAGAGATTTTTAAGAGATTTTTATATGTCCACTCAGGTGGACAGTATGCGTTTCAGGGTTTGAACTGAAAACATGTACATTTTGAAAAAATGATAAATAAAGATGTGCAAACTTAAAATTACATCATAATAACATAAGTATATTGATTTACGGCCCAAAAAGATATTGCAGATGAAGTATTTTCAAGAATAACCAGGGCCAGGGGCCAATTTGAGGCCCCACGCAGTTATTTGATGAGTGCTAGTGGAGCCTCGCAGCTGCGCCACCCTAATTGCGCCACATAAGTGCATAGGTGCGCCTCAGATGAGGCCCCACTCCGCAAGGTGTAGTCCCCTCCACAAGGCGAGGCCCCACACAGTCTGCATGATCTGCCCGTAGGGTTGCAAACAAATCATTTGTGTAATCATGTAAACTATAAGTACTTTTTCTTTGTTTTAACATAGGTTTTTCTTTGCAGTTCTTGTTTCTTCTTTCTCAATGATCAGACTTTTGCTCTCGCTTCAGCTTTCTCTTTTGCGCTCCCTCATTTTTTGTTTGAGATTCTGACGCAAACCTCCCAGGTGGGCGGGACTTTCAGGGGTGCGTCCCCATTGGCTACTCAGTTTTTGAGTGACAGCACAGTCCTCCAGCGATTGTGCAGGCAGCTGCGGTGCGGCGGCTGCCTGAGCGTGGATAGAACANCTTGAGTAAAAGTAGAAGTACTCAGATCTTGTTCTTGAGTAAAAGTAGAAGTACCGGAGTGTAGGAATACTCTGTTTCAGTAAAAGTCCTGCATTCAAAATGTTACTCAAGTAAAAGTAAAAAAGTATTCTCATCAAAATATAGTGAAAGTAGCGACAGTAAAAGTAGTCATTGTGCAGATTGGTCCATTTCAGAATAATATATATGATGTGTTTTATAATGATTGATCATGAAAGTGTTCTCAAAGCTGGTAAAGGTGCAGCTAGTTTGAATGACTTTGTATACTGCAGGGTAGCTGGTGGATTTACTCCAGGTGGAACTAAAGTCTAATTTAACAGTTGATTAGATTTCACATCATTCATCCACATCTGTGAAGTAACTAAACGGATTAAATACATGTAATGGAGTAAAAGTACACAGTAGCATACAATGGAAATAACAGCGTCTGCCATTTCCACTCTCCTACCTGATGGTGAGGATCTGACCAAAGTTCATCTCCACGTTGTTGACCTGGGCTATAAAGATGGCTGCCAGCGCCTCATAAAGCGCCGTTCCATCCATATTGATCGTGGCTCCCACCGGCAGCACGAAGCGGGTGATTCTCTTGTCAATTTTGTTGTTTTCCTCCAGACATTTAAAGGTGACAGGCAGGGTTGCAGAGCTGAGCCATGAAAACAAATGGAAACAGGTTACAAACACACTCAGAATCACTTGTATTTTTATAGGAAATAGTTATCAACGCAATAAACCGTTATTTATTTTGTCTTAATGTTCATTATTTTATTTCATGTTCTGTTCTTGAACATATCAAATTCTATTTACACGTATATTGACTTTTTGCACTACTTTTTATTTTGTATTTTTGTATTTTATTCTATGGCCGTTTCTCAATCTCGATGAAACTGGCTTCCAAGCCAATATTTCAAGGATGCTACGTCATCAAGTGGCGCAGCAGGACCTTTCCAATGTCCAGCATACTTGGAATTCCACTGAGGCCGCGTCCTTGGTTTGGGGGAAATTTCGAGGCTGCAACAGTCTATGGGCTGCACATGGGGGCCGTTTCTCAATTTCGAGTACGCTTGCTTGGTAGCACATGTCTTCCGAGTCACTTCCTTCAGAAGCTAGGCAAGAATCCTTCCTGGCATCCGGAAAACGAAGAGTGGAACAGGCGAGCAAGTGTGCAGGTGTGCGTCATATGAGAGGCCCCGCCTTACATTTTCCGCCACAGATTCGGGGAATATTGGTCCGTGCGCAAAGCATTGTGGGGATTTTAAGACCGTGGAGTCTACACATGTGCAGCCTCGAAATTTCTCCAAACGAAGTACGCCGGCCTCGGTAGAATTCCAAGTATGCTGGACATTGGAACAGTACTTCGGCGGCACTCGATGACGTAGTATGCTTGAAATAGTGGCTCTGGAGCAGCTTTACTCGACATTGAGAAAGACCCAGAGACTCCTCAATTGTTCACTTACAACATTCTCTGCAACATTTAGCTTATTGTATCGATTTCTCTTTTTTACATGCATATAGTTTACTACCACTAACAGTTTTGTGCAATATGTAAATTCGAGAAATGTATTACAAATGTTACACTTCTTAAATTTACATTCTATGTGAACGCCCTTATCTAATAGTGTTTTATTTTGGCTGTAACAATGTAATCATTCCCTCTGTGGGACAAATAAAGGTATTCTGATGCTTCATCTGAATGTCTTTCATACTGATCTTGCAAGATAATGTTGCACTATTTTATTGTGCTCAGTTTTTTCTTGCATTTAATGCACAATAATTTGAATCTTGGAAAAGCAAGGTAGTGAGGGGGAAAGTGAATGTTAGGCGAGGGAAGAGAGATAGACAGTGAGAGCATACAAAAAGAGATAGCAGAGGAAGCTGATTTAACGGTGACACAAAGACAGGCAGGCAGTCAAAGAAGGAGAGGAATCTATTGTCGAGCACAAGGTGACGGGAAGAGGAAAAGGAAGGGGAAAAGGGGTGGGGGTGTTTGAGTGAGTTGGGCTGTCAATAGCAGCTGACAGCCGGCTGACTGACTGAGGTGGAGACTCTTCTTAACTCCACTGTGGCACCACGGCAGAGAAAATACACACTGCTGTTAGGGTCTGTTCAACACAACTCCTCTAGACAGCATCGCTGGCCTGTTTATAATTAGCATTATTCGATCACAAGTGGAGACCATGTGTGCACGTCCGACACCTAATGAGGACGCTGTGGGCCACATCTGTAGTGTGAGCTCACATGTGTAACATTAATGAAGGAGCGTCTTTTTCCAAATCTGTCTTGGCAGATGTGCGCAACTGTTGTCGGTGAAAGCGTGAAAAACAACTGGCAACAACAAACCTCTGGGGCACCGAGGACAACAGAAGGAAATGCAATGGAGGTGTTGAGCAAACTACTACGATACAGAAACTTGAATAGGTCTTTGTTTTTATATTCCCATTTTTGTTATGTTACTCAAATAACTATGTGATTTCTGCAGGGAATGTAACACGAAAAGGTGTTTTCTTAAGTCTGTGGAATATGATATGTAAAAGGAGCGTTTGTATAATGCTATTCCATTCTTTGCAACCCATTCACACACATTCATACAGAGGCAGGGGGTGTTTCTCAATGTCGAGGAAAGCTACTCCAGAGCCACTATTTCAAGGTTACTACGTCATCGAGTGCCGCCGAAGGACTGTTCCAATGTCCAGGATACTTGGAATTCTACCGAGGCCGGCGTATTTCGTTGCGGGAAATTTCAAGGCTGCACATGTGTAGACTCCGCGGTCTTAAAATCCCCACAATGCTTTGCGGACGGACCAATTTCCAAATCTTTTGGCGGAAATAGCGCTCTATTTAAGGCGGGGCCTCGCATATGACGCGCACCTGCACACCCGTTAGCCTGTTCCACCATTCTTCGTTTTCCGAGGCTAGGAAAGATTCTTGCCTCGCTTCTGAAGGAACTGACTCGGAGGTACATGTGCTACTAAGGAAGCCTCCTCGACATTGAGAATCACCCAGAGGCTGCCATACAAAGAGCTGCTGCTCAGGGAAACTAACATTCACACACCATTGGCCATGCCATTGGGTGCAACACATCAACATGTTGACAGCAGGGCTGGGACTCAAACCACCAACCTTTCTTTGGTGGACTACCGCTATACCTCCAAAGCCATAGTGTAGAATGGGACATCTATTCAGCATGGAACTATTTAATTTAAAATGGTATATTGAGACCCATTTAGAATTTAACAAATGTTGTTTATTGGGATTTTGACAAAAAATCTGCAGGGCATAGTGTGAGATTATTGTCGTGTTTCGAAAAGTGCACAAGTAAGAAGTGTTGCTCTGGCTGGCTTTGCATTTCAAATAACATACATTGCAACAAGCATTGTCTGCATCAAGTTTAAAAAGTGATGAGCTCAGCTACAGAGAGAGGAGGATGGGGCTATTTTGGGCACTCAGCCTTCATAAAGAAAACGTTGCCCATCATTTTTTCCTGTTGAAAATGTTATCAGACAACAGTTTTCTTCGGCTTATACGGACTATGACACTCTCCAGTTGAAGCATTGGTTGAAAAGAGTAAGAACTGCATTAGGGCATATATAGTTCTTAGTATAAAGGCATTTCTGGGTCACTTGTTTGTGACTTCAACAGCAATGAGACAGCAACATAGTTACATGGATATAATTCGATTCAAGATCCATACAAGTAGTACATGAATAGCTCAACAGTTACTACTGGAACACCAGGATCACGTACGTTATGTCTGTCTAGTCTTGCAAGGGTGCAATCAACATGAGAAATGTGATGCCTTCCATTACAAATGCTTTAACTACAAATCCAGCTTTACATGAGAAGCCTTCTGATGACAGGCATGAACTGCAATCCATATGAATGTAAACTGGGTGCATGTTGATTCAGGACTAAGCTCTGAAGAGGGCCTTTGTCAGGTTTATTTGCCCCAATGTGGTGATTAGGGTCAACCACTTCCTCAGGCAAGGCCTACATTACTGCTAATGCATGGTTTCCTCTTCAGTTTGACCACAAACTGGGCCTGCTAGAGCGAAGACATTTGAAACAACACTGCCGAGTTGCTCCAAAAAGCAAACCTGCAGATACACAGAGAAATGTTTAAAAAGCCAAATGTCTGTCGCTAACATCCCCTGTGATCAATCACTTTGTACATCAAGGGGATTCATCCTTATGGCCTTGTTCCATAAACCCACTTTGTGGAGTAAACTGGATAACTTTGCAGAGAAAAACTTTGAACCTCCTCAACTCTGGAAGTAAGAGGAACTGTTCCAGGTCAGGCTGTGATGAGAAAAGTTATCAAGATCACTCAGAGAACTTCTTGGAACAGACATCAAGAAACCAGATTGCATCAATATTAAGAACAAAGTGTTTCTCTAAAAAGAAAGGGAACGTTTTTTCTATTAAAGAATGGAACGAGTTCTTCCAATTGATTATTTCTTAATAAAATAGATTGGATCAATTCTGGTCAATCGATGTTTTGTATAATTACAAAGCTGACTTGTGATTATTAGAAGAATAATAGTTATTGAAAAAAATATACCGTGTTATTTTTATGTTGCATTGTTGGTTTGTTGTACTTGAACAGTCTGGTATCGAGAATAGATATCTTGTTTCAGAAGTTATTGAAGTCTTACAATAAAGTAACCTGTTATTTCAAATGGCCCACAGTCAAGGGTTAAATGGATGAAATGTATACGTGTGCATCCATCGAATAAACAAAAAGAAAACCATCTGAACAGGATGAGAACACTTGAATACTGTGTTGGATATACACTAAACTAATGGCGCATTTCCACTGCAGGGCCTCGCACGGCTTAAGTACGGTAGTTAGCCTTGTTAGGCCAGGCTCACTTTATGCTGCGTTTCCATTACAGTTTAGGAACTGGGGCCAGTAACTATTAGTAACGCAGTGTAGGCGGAGCCGGGACGTCATCTTCAATGCCGAAACACAAAACCAACATCAAAGCCGTTAGCCTGTTAGCATTCAGAGCTCACAGTTCCTACATATCTCGTTCTAAGATGAACAGTACAGTAGAGAA